GTTGACCACTTGGATGACCACCTGGTCGATCTCTTGGTCGACCACCCGGTTGACCAACTGGTCGACTAGTGCATGCGAAATTGGCCTGGTTCAAACAGTTCAAAAAGGTAAAAAATAAAAATAAAAATTGGCTTTACCGATCGACCAACCGAATGACCCATGGAGGTAGGTTCAAACAGTTCAAAAAGGTTAAAAAAAAAAAATCCTCCTAAATGGTCGACCATCCGGTTGTCCTAAAGGAGATTTGATGAAGGTGAACCGTTGGAGCATTCAGTGTCAAATTGAGAAAATGGCCATTTTTTTATTCAAATTTGGTGAAACATTAGGTGAACCGTTGGAGATGCTCTAAGATTCCCGATCACCAAAAAAAAATTAAAATAAAAAGTAATATACTAAGAAATGGAAGCTTTTCAATATACTTGTAATTTTTTTTTCTTTATATTCACATGTACAGCTATTTATTCTTAAGGCACATAATGTGTTGCAAGAAAATAATTTGGTTTATTTATAATTTTTTTCTCCATGATAATTTTGTTGTAATAATTTAACGATTCAAATTTAAAATTGAATTAAAAGGACCTCATTTTTGAGATATAGTTTGAAGTAAGAAATAATATTTTATTCCCATTTTATTTTATTTAATTGCAAGCTATTAAATTATATCATTCGCTTATATGCATTATTGTGGTAATATAAAGAATTGCAAAATATTTAGACAACAAAGTTATAAATTTGAAAAATATGTTTGGGTTTGAGTTTTTAAAATAAAATTTTTGAGTTTTTTATTTTTTATGTTTTGTTATTTTTAGTAAACTTTTTTAAAAAATAAAATGTTTGTGGAGAAATTTTTAAAAATTTTATAAAAATAAAAATTAAATACGAAAATGTATTGACTTCTTATATTTAGTGAATTTAAAAATAAAAATAAAAAAAAAAACTTTTCTAAAATACTTTACTTTTGTAGGTGCATTTAGGTTAAATGCATTTAAAAAATAAAAAATAATTAATAATTAAAATATTTAAAAATATTATTAAAAATAAAAAAATTATGAAAAAATAAAAAATTCAAAAATCATATTTAAAAACTCAAAATTGAACAGATGTTTGATTCTGATTCGACTATGGTATAACGAGACTCAAATTGAATTTGAATCGTTTATTTTTATTTTATTTTTACATGTTTTTTAAAAATATTTTTCGTGGTCCACGAACTGATATTTTTGGTTGGAAAGCTCCTCCGTGATGAGTCCAATGGCCATTAATAACTTGAAAAAGGCAACCCATCAAGGTATCCCACGTGCCTACGGAGCTTGACTTTGGTACTCCCGCGTCTACCATATAATAATGGTTTTTTTTTGTTTTTTTGATCGAAGACCATATAATAATGGTTCAACACCGAGATCTCGCATTATGCACTGTTTTGAATTCAGAGCTAGCGTTGACCTTAACTACATATGTTGAAGATCGACGGCTGTGGTAACCGATTGACATTTTATTTAGACGGTTTGCGTACCGTCCGATCAGAGACATCTTTCTTTACAGTTTGTGGATAGACAGCAAAGACACCACCCCCCTTGGGTGTGTTTGCTTGGAGGAATCTTGTTTTCTTTTAGCTAACAAAAATACAATAATAATGGAGACCCTTTTCATGCGGACCCTACAATTTCTTTTAGATCTTAACTATTAATGGCGTAAACTCTACACATACATGAATGGATCTCACATATACATAAATAGTTGAGATCCAAAGAGAATTGTGGGGTCTCTAAAAAAAAGGGTCTGAGTCATTTTTCAACAAAAATACTATGAGTTTGTTTGGGATATTGATTTGGGTTTAAATAGTTATATAAGATAAAATAAATTATTTTAATTAAATAGGATAAAATATTACATTCAATTCATAATCATTTTATTTTATTTTTTCTCTCACAAAAGTTAAAATAGTCAAAATGCCTATCCTAAACGAAACTTTTTAACTAAAGGCCCTCTCATTTAGAAATGGACTATTGTAGTGACTTTTTAATTTTTTACGAAAAGATGTACAAAAAAATAGAAAAAGTAATGTGACAACTTATAGTAATTTTTTGACTAAAATACTTAGTTCCGAAACAAGGCCAAAAAGTCAATCCACATCCCAAACGAGCTCTATATATTGGCCCTGTTTGGTAGAGCTGTGGAAAAGTGCTTATAGCTTATGCCTTAACAGCTTATAGCTTATAACTATGAACATAAGCTGATTTCTGACTTATAAATTAAGCATCTCCTACCACACTCAAAAAATAAGTTGATTTCTGACTTATAAAAAGCTATAAGCTGCATTGTTAAGCTAAACCAAACACATCAAAATAGCTTAAATTAAGCTGAAAGCTGAAATAAGCAGCTTTTAAGCTGCACCAAACAGGCACATTATGAAAATTTATTTTGAATTTTATTTTGAAGGTGAGTGTTCTTTTGGCACGCTCCTTGGGGTTAAAATTGACATATAAGACAAATAGATTATTTTAGTTAAATAGGATAAATTATTACATTTAACCCATAATCATTTTATTTTTTCTTTCACAAAAGTCAAAAAAAAAAAACCAAAAAACATATTCTAAAAGAGACTTTTTAGCTCCAAACTAAAAGGTAAATTACACCAGCGGTCCCTATAGTTTAGGGTTTGTGTCACTTTAGTCCTTAACTTTTCAATTGTGACATATTTAACCTTGAATTTTAAATCTTGTTCCAAACAAGGACAATTGAAGATACCATTGGATTTTTCAATGGCAAAACCGTCAATTTGATAAAATATAAATTAATTTGACAAAAATAAATGTCAAAAAAATGTTTTTAAATTTTTAAAAATTATTTCTACCCACTAAAGATAAAATTATGTAAAATTGATAAACTTTTTAGACATTCGGTCTCTATAGTTTAAGATTTGTGTCACTTTAATCATTGACTTTTCAATTGTGACATATTTAACCTTGAATTTTAAATCTTGTTCCGAATAAAGACAATTGAAGATACCATTGGATTTTTCAATGGCAAAACCGTCAATTTGATAAAATATAAATTAATTTGACAAAAATAAATATCAAAAAAATATTTTTAAATTTTTAAAAATTATTTCTACACACTAAAGATAAAATTATGTAAAATTGATAAATCTTTTAGATATTTATTTATTTATTTTTTACAAATTAATTTTTATTATGTGTTTGGATGATGGTCATGTAAAATTAAATTTTTTAAATTAATTATGTAATTTTTATCAATTTTTCATAATTTTATTTTTGGTGGATAGAAATAATTTTTAAAAATTTAAAAATATTTTTTTGACATTTTTTTTTGTCAAATTAGTTTAGATTTTATCAAATTGACAATTTTTCCCTTAAAATTAAGTAATGATATTTTCAATTATCCTTATTTAGAACAAGATTTAAAATTCAGGGTCAAATGTATCACAATTGAAAAATCAGGGACCAAAGTAACACGAGCCCCAGACTATAGGAACTGTTAGTGTAATTTGTCCCAAACTAAAATAGTCAAAACACCAACCCATATCCCAAACGAGCTTGGTATAAATTTAAACTTGGTGGGATATGAGTTACACTCACAATTGATATAACAATAATTTTATGGTTCCAAAAATATAACTAAAAAATCAAAAAAATAAATTTATGATTGATATTTAAAGTTGATGTTGTGGCCATACCTTAAGTAAATCAAAACTATTAATGTCAAATTATGAGTATTTTCTGAGTTTTTATGTCTGGAATTATAGTATTGCAGTTGTTATAAACTCTTTTTTTTTTTTTTGAAATTGAAAATGCGATTTCAATTGAAAATCGCATGTTGAATATACAATTTCACCATGTCATCATAAATTACATTTTCAATCTGTGATTTCAAAAGAAAATTACATGTTAAAAATGTAATTTCAATTTCAAAATTACATTTTTAAAATACGATTTCAAAAAATAAATTAATTATCCAAATAATTTAAAAAGTGGATAAATTCCCTAAATAATTTTTTCTTTTTAAGAATATTTTTAAAAAAAACTCCAACTTCCCAAACCAGCTCATAATAATAACTAAACCGTCTTATCAAATCCTCTATATATAACTTTTGGCCTTGTGGAGGGTTCATAAAGAAACGCAGCTGTTTTGGTTGCAAGTAACAACTCCAAAATTCCAAATCAGAGGATACGTTGTCGTTTTGGTTCACAGCTGTGCCTGCTGTGCGTGGGTGCACAGCAGGCACCCCAAATCCTTTATAAACAGTGATGTTACATGCACTAATTAATATACTAACTAGTATACCAATACTAGTTATGATATTATTATTGACTCCACTCATTATACAAATTATAAATATCAAAAACTTCTTAAATTATGCCACATCATTAATTGATACACTAATTGATGTATATAATATTATTCATTTACTTAAATTTAAATTACATATTGCTAGCATTTCTGGCAAACATGAAATTAACTAATCTCTTCAAATTCATAAGCATTTTAAATGTAAAATATTATACATAATGGATTAATAATCTCAAAATGATTAGTAGGCACACTAAACAACGATGCCCATAGTGTGTACATCTCAGCTTTCACTTGCAAGGGAACTCACTTTCTTCATATCTCTGACTCTCACAGAAATAGGTTCTCTTCATTTTCCATCTTATTTTCTCTTCCTAAAAATTTTTCCCACTCTTTCTCATTCAGTCTTTTTTTTTTTTAAACAGGAAAATTCTCTTACTCTCCCATATGTCTAGGAAACGCCTCTTACCGAGATCATCAAGGTATCATATTGTCTATTCCGAGTAAAAATATTATAATATGAGAACTTATTCCGATCTCTCAAGACAATTTATACTTTAAGTCAGGACTCGCACAGCGAGGTGCATTGGGCCTACCCCAAATGTTGTGATAACAACAATTTAAGACTAATCTCTTAACTCCGCTTAAGAAGTTGGCCCAAGAGGCTTCGAACCTGAGGTTTATGACTTAACCCCCAGGCCTTTACCAGTTGCCAAACACATGGCTTCATTCATTCTTTTCTCTCCCCATCTATTTCCAATATTCCCTGTAACTAAACTACCCCAATAGATGTGTCTTTTTCATAATAGCTGTAGTTTCAGTTTCTAGTTCAATATATTGAAGTTATTGCAGTCCACAAATTCCTAGATACAGTAATGTCACCACTTGAATCTCTTCATCACAAGATGAAAGGAACTTGAAATTTGGATTTGGGTTTCATTTTCCCGAGAAAATGGAGATTTTCCGGGATTCCGTCCTCTGTTTCTTGCTCTTTCTTGTCATTCTCCCTCCTTCAATAGCTCAGTTATCTCCATCAGAAACCAGAATTCTTTTCCAAATCCAACAAATTCTTGAATACCCAGAAGCCCTTCAAGGATGGCATAACTGGACCAGCTTCTGTTACCTCCCTGAATCCCCATATCTAGTGATTGTCTGCTCGGAAAATCACATAACAGAATTTTCTCTCGTGGGAAACAGAACCTCCCCTTCCCAATCCCACATTCCACCAAAACCCACCTCCGGAAACTTGTTTGTTTCTCAGGAAACTCTCTCTGATAAATTCTCCATTGGTTCATTCTTCACAGTCCTAACCAAGCTCTCCAATTTGAAAGTACTCTCACTAGTGTCCTTAGGCTTATGGGGTCAATTACCCGCAACGATCAACCGGCTAAAATCACTCGAAAAACTGAATATCAGTTCGAATTTCATCTCCGGAGAAATTCCTGGATCGATTTCAATTTTGACAAATCTCACGAGCCTTGTTTTGTCTGACAATCTCTTCAATGGGAGTGTTCCAGACATGAAAAGCTTACAATCTCTTCAAGAGATCGATTTAAGTATCAATCGCCTCGGGCCTGAATTTCCATCTCTGAGTACCAATCTTGCAACAATCAAATTAAAAAACAATTCTTTTAGATCTGGAATTCCTTCAGAGATCAAGGATTTTGATCTGCTTCAACGATTCGATGTATCGGGAAACAAACTTGTGGGTCCTATTCCATCTCCTCTGTTTTCTCTGCCTTCAATCCAGTACCTGAATTTAGATGACAATCAATTCAATGGTGCTCTTTCATTGAATCTATCTTGTAGTGTCAATCTCACATTTGTTGATATTTCTAACAACTTTTTGATTGGGAAATTACCCGCCTGCATTGGATCAAACGCCACGAATCGAACTGTACTGAGTTCATGGAATTGTCTGACAAGTGGAGGTTTGGAATATGAACACCCATATTCCTTCTGTCAGAAAGAAGCATTGGCGGTTATTCCCCCGAATAAGAATCGCGAGGGGCGGTCTAAGGGCAAACTTGGCCTCATACTTGGTATTGTTGGGGGTGTTGTTGGGGCAGTTTTCGCAATTGGATTGTTGATTTTGATAATTTTTAGAAGAGAGAAGAAGAAGAAGAAGAAAGACGATAGTTTCGAATGCGATAGCTTTGTTTGGGAGAAGAGCTCTGTTCGGAGCGAGCCTGCCATTGATGGAAGTAAGCTCTTGATCTTTCTTCTTCCCATTTTTTACAAAATTCATTTTAACATATTGTGATATGGCCCAAAATGTTTATTACTTGTGATTTTTTTAAAACAGTTAAATACCGTTCGTATTTTTGACAGAATTCATTTTACTATGTTGTTGTGATATGACCAAAATATTTATTACTTGTGATTTTTTAAAAATAGTCAAATAATTTTAGATTAAAATTTTACCTTTGCATTTTCCCTTAAAAAAAAAATGTGCTTCACGCATATTTTGAGAGTTGAAAAAGAAAAAAAAATTATTCTAGTTGAAAGCAAAATCCAATTTGAAAAAGAAATATTTTTTCTTTTTTTTTTTTCGTCTTTTACCTTGAAGACTTGAAGTCTTTTACAAAAATGCTAGAGGCCCCAAAAATTCTACCAAAAGTTGGTCCCACACCCATGTGAGACATTTGATAAAATTTTTGGTAGAATATTTGGGGTCTCTAGCATTACTTATCCATCACCCCACCCACCACCTCTCTCCAAACTACCTCATTCCACCTCCCTCGCCGCCCCTTCCCTCCTCCCGATGTCCACAATTTTTAATTTATTTGGTTAGTAAGTTGTAATTTTTTTTTTCCTTGGTTGAGAGTGGTGGGAGACCAAAGGTTGTCATTTTACAAGTAAAGCTCACAGAATTGGTTTTGCTATATAGTCAAAACTATATGAAGAATATTTAGCTGTTTTAAAAAATTAGGAAACGAAGTGCTATGGAACCACAGGTGGGCCTAAAATGTACTTTCAACATGGGGGCTTAAAATGGATTTTTCACAAAACACTAGTACAAACATAGTCATTCATTCATTCTTTCACCTTGGTTGTTGAGAAAATCACTTAAATGTTTATTAGAAGTTCATGAAAATAGCTTGGTTAGTGACAAAAAAATTTCAATTATATAGGACATGTACCGCGAACTATGACGATGCTGTCAATGGGGCTACCACCGTACCATGTTTTCACATTGGAGGAAATGGAAGATGCAACAAACAACTTCGACCCCTCAAATTTGGCTAACGAAGGATCTCAAGGACAGGTAAAAAGAGTTAGATTGACACAAATTTCACAGAACGAGACATAGATTAGATAAAGAGTAAAGCATCTTGCTATTTTCAATCTTATTCACGTTAATCAATGAACAATTATTTTTCATTGATTACAGCTATATAGAGGATGGCTCAGAGACGGTTCGATCTGCCTGGTGAAATGTCTGAAGTTGAAACAGAAGCAATCGCAACAAAGCTTGCAGCAGCACATGGAAGTGATATCGAAGCTGAGGCATCGACATTTGGTCAGTGTTCTAGGACACTGCATTGTGACATACCAGAACCGCCACCCCAATGTAGCTAGCACTGTCTTCATTGTCCTTGAACATGTTGCAAATGGGTCTTTGAGGGATCACCTTACAGGTAAAACTAAATAGCACACTTCATGTCATTGTTCCTGAGGCTTCGTTTGTTTTCTGAGATAGAATGGAAGTAATTGATAGTGAGGGAATTCATGTGAAGAGATTGCTAGTGAGAGGATTAATAGTAACAGGATAAAGCAAAATTGTGTTTGTTTTGATGATAGTTATTAGTATTGGGATTGTTAAATTATTTTTATATAAAATAAATATAAAATAATAAAACAAATAAAAAATACAAAAACATTAAACATTAATGTTTTAAAAAAAATGCCCAACATGTAAAAAAATTTAAAAAAATAAAAATAAAATAAAAAATTTCTAGAAAAAAATATAAAAAATAAAATAATGATTTTTACTTAACAAAAAAAATAAAAAATTAAACATTAATGTTCAAAAAAAAATGTCTGACATGTAAAAATTAAAATAAAAAATAAATAAAAATAAAAAATTTCTAGTCTGCCGGATTATTTTTCTAATACCAAGTCCTGGAAGCCCATCCGAATCCCCTTGAGGAGGCCCATCCTAATCCGGAGCTCACTATCAATCCCCTCCCATCTCTCAAAACAAACGCAATATTAGTAGATCTCATCTCACTATCAATCTCAATCCCTCCTTTAACTCTCCAAACAAACGGGGCCAGACACAAAAAATACGATAACCAAAGTGAAACTAGAGAAACCAATGATGTAACTTACTTTGGGTTTAACCCCCATTTGTCACCGAAAAAAATAATAATAATAATTTTGATGTAATTTACCTATTCTTTATAATTATTCTTTTACAAGAAACATTTCACAAACATGTGTATTTCTTGTTTGGACATGAATAAGGATACTTTTGTAAAGGTTTTTTTTTCTCTTTTTTTTTGTATTTATTATTATATAATTTTAGATAGTTTATTTGGTATTAAACTGAAATGTAAGGTTAATTACACTTTACTCCTTAACTACCATTGAGTATCACCTTATCACTCTCTTGACTTTAAAAATACATATAGACTCTCAACTATCAAAAATTGTACAAAGACCCCATTTTTGGAGGGGAAGGTGAAGAATTTTGATAGTTTAAGAATTTATGAGATTAGTTCCACAGAGAGAGAATCTGATACAAGGCAATGCCTGTGTTTTTCTGGATTTGGCAGATTGGATAAAGAGGGAGTATCTGAAATGGCCACAGAGAATGGGGATTGCAGTGGGGATTGCCAGGGGAATCCAGTTCTTGCACTCCGGAATTGTTCCAGGAATGTATGGAAATGATCTCAAGATCGAAAACATATTGTTGGACAAAACTCTCACTGCCAAAATTAGCAGCTACAACATTTCATTGCCATCCAAGGTGGGAAATTCTTGATTTCAAGCTTACATTATTACCAATTCCTGAACATTGGCAACCAGGTTTTTGCCTTTTCGTGTCTTTAGAAAACGAAAAGTTTCATAACACTTTTACGTGTGAAATGCTTTCTGAAAATTTAAAATTTTTTTGTATTTAGCGTAAAAAAGTACATTTCACATTTTTTGTCACTTGTTTGAGTTAGTACAGAGAAAAAATTGACGGTAATTTGAAAGAAGTGACCATATTGAAAGTGAACTTAAAATATACATGCAGTTAATATTGTTCAAACTGAATTAATTCAAACTAAAGTGAAATTTGAAAACTACAGAGGTAAAACTATGTAATTCACCCAATAATTTTTCTCTGTTTTGAAAAATAAAAATAGAAAACAGAACAGAAAATAAAAACACAATCAATCAAGCTGTTTATTTCATCAAATAGATCCGTCTTTCTGCTCAACTCCTTATGCATTTTTGTAATGTTTTCAGGTAGGTACAGAGAGCCCTCTCAATGGACAAGACACCCCCAACAGGCTTTCCAGGTAATATGTTTTTTCCTCATCCTCTCCACTTAATCTTCTCTGTCATCTTTAAAACCTTGAATTCATTTTCATAGAAGGTCTGTATGTATATGCAGCACTGAAAGTGCAGAAAAGAATGATATTTATCAACTGGGTGTAATTCTACTTGAAGTAATTTCTGGTAAACCAATCACATCCGAAACTCAATTGGATGAGCTCAAACTTCAGGTATATATATTTATTTTCCATCATTTTCTCACCTCATTTCCTTCAAAATCTCGAAAGATGATGATTTGCTCCAACAGTAAAGGTTAATGTTGAATGATGCGGGTTTGAGTCACTGAAATAACCTTTCTGAAAAATTGGAAAAAGATTGTGAGCATCTTATTCTTGCTTGGGAAAAGATACCCATCCTCCCAACTCACTAATGGTGTTTCATGACTTGCCCACCATTTTTCTTATGTTTTTTTGTAGTATGTAGGCATATAACCAATATGATGTTATGATAAGATAAAATAATTACTTAATTACGCAAAAGTATCGCATTGGCCGCGTACTTGCCCAATAACAAGGAACTATTTACTTACATATCCCAAAAACAGAGGAATAATAACTGAACCAATCACGAAACACTATTGGTTGGGCATACAACCACGTGATGTTGCAAATGCATGTGATAATTTATATCTTAATTTCCTAAATCCTTTTGTCTTAATACACTTCCAATCATTAAATTATGTGAGCATCTCAAGACACTTAAATCTCAAGGCATAATTCAATGGTTGTTAGTGCATTAAGACAGAAAATAATTTAGAGAAAGATAATCTCGTATCCCCGAAAAATACCCCATGTATAGTGTAGATTCAAATTTTGTCCACATTTCATTTTCAAAGTACTTTCTAAAGAGAATTTTTTTGGGAGCACGTACCATTGCCGATTTTTCTTTCTTCAAATTCTAGTATCCTGCAAGTGTGCTTGATCTTAATTTGCTTCAACTTTATTTTACACTTCACAGCTTGAAAGAGGCTTAGCAGAGTCACCATTGAGATTGCGAGAAGCAATCGATCCTTCCATTCGTGGCACATTCGCACACGAATCATTAAAAACTGCAGTCGAAATCACCATGAAATGCCTCAGCAAAGATTCAGTCTCACGTCCCACCATTGAAGATGTTCTTTGGCACATGCAATACTCAATTCAAGTTCAAGAAGGATGGACTAGCAGTGGAAACCTTAGCACAAAAGTCTAGTATTGCCTTCAATTAAACTTCTTAGATTTGCTGTGTTTGTTACCTGAATTTCATTATCTTGTAGTGTAATTCAGTAGCTATCCTGTTGAATTTCATGATCATGTGTAGTTACTCTGTATAGGGTTTTAGTGATTCAACAATGTATCCCCTTTATGCTTTTGTAAAATTGTAAGTGCACAGAATTTAATAACAAAATCGAATAGAATCCTCTCACATGAGGTGGAACTCATCCGATTCTGTAATTGAATTCTATGCATATGGTTTCTTTTTCTATTTTGAAAAGAATTAGGGGTCAAAAAGAATGGAGTTGGTTTGGGTTAATTAGAATCAAACTCATAATTTAACTGCACTTGCTTGGTTTTAAATTTTTAGATTCAGAATTTAACCAATCATCTTTTTGGTTCTGCATTATTTTAAGAGAAAAATTTGCTTTATCCCCTCAAAATATCACACTGGTGTCAATTTATTTTCTCAAATATTGATTTGAACAGATCAATTACCCCTTCAAATATTCAATATTAAATAAAATACAAAATACAATTAATTGTAACAAATTATTTTGTCTATCGAAAATATCAAATCACTTGATTGATTGCAGTAAAATAAACTAATATCAATACTTGAAGGGGCAATTATTCAAATTGATAATTCTATTTGGAGGTGGCAAAGTAATTTTTTCCTTAATTTAAAATTTTCATAATTATAAAGCAAAATTTTAGAAAAAATAATTTGTAAAGTAAAATTGTTGTAGTATAAACATGAGGATAATCCTTACAATGGGGGAAGGGAGCAAAATTATAGAGTATAACCGTACGTAATACATAAAATTTGGTTTTTTTTACCCTTACTCCTAAGATCCCTAATAGCATTTCTTTAGAAATTTAGGCGTCGTTTGGGAACAGGCTAATTTAATAATTTTTTGACTATTTGATTAAAAAGGTAGGTAAAAAAAATTTGTATGTTTAAAATGATTTTTTGGCTAATTACGAAAAGATGTGTAAAAAATAAAAAGAAAAGAGAATCTTTAACTTTTTAGTATGAATTGTTAATTTTTTAACTAATTTAATAATTTTTTGACTAATTAACTAAAAAAATAAGTCTCCAAACATGGTCTTAATGACAAACTTTTTTTTATGTACTCACGGTAAGAGATTTTGAACAAGAGTACCTAAACAAGGTGGAATTCTAAGAAAACGGGATAATTACTCCTTCAACAGTCATTTTTGCCACTTTTTAATTGATTTCAACCTTGAAATTTTAATAACTTCTAATTTTTTTTTTTTTTTTTTTGATCATAAAAAAGGGGGATCGACGGTGGAGGTCACGCCCCCCGTGGGCCCTAACCCCGGGGTAACCGGTTGCCAGCTAGGAATTAACCCCCACCAAGTGGGGGACCCACCACCAGGGCACCAATGGAGGGCAGACATGCGCCACAGCCATGCCCAGGAACGAGGGGAGTAAAGGGCGAGCTCTCAGCTGAGATTACAAACAGCCCCCTCCCAGGAATCGAACCTGGGTGATTCTATTTGCACATCTTAATTACTTTTAATTCACATTATTATTCATAAATTTTTAATTATAATTTTATCCTTCAATTAAATATTCAAATTGCTCTCATCTTGTTCATCCACAAACCCTAACCTAACCTATTGACAACCACTGCAGGCTGCTGCCACCGCTATCGCTACCGCAGCCCCTTGCCTCCGGTCACCTTCTCTTCACAGCTTTTCTCTCTACTTTCCACCCTCAAACAGCTTCGTAGACACTGTCGTCCTAACCCTAACATCACTACACGCCACTGTCACTGCCGCCATCGCCATCAACCCTTGTCATCGCAACCACCACCAACCTCTCTCCCTAAGCCTGTTGCGCCTTTCCTAGCTCCGTTGTTCACCCCTCCGCCGTTGTACACCCTTATCTCGCCATCGCGAACAACCCCGCTCCACCTTTTTCCATCACGAACAACTCCCCCACCTATAAAATCACCCCCATTTTTGTGGGTTGGCGGATGCAGCAACTGCTAGGAGGTAATGCCGCAGCGTTTTGCTCTGTTTTGCTTCTTTCTTTTTTTTTCTTTGGTATGTGGTTTGTCTTGGTGTTTTCTCAGACTCAGAGTCACAAATTGTTTGAATAATGTTCTGCTTAATTTTATCACTGGATGCAATAAAATAAAAATAATTGAATAAATTAAATATAATAAAATTTATGCATATATTATTCAATAAATTACCGTAAATCCCTTTAAACTACATTTACATTTCATTCCCTTAAATTTTAAAACTCAATCATTAAATTATAACCTATTTGTATTTTATGCCCTTAAATTTTAAAACTCAATAGTTAAATTATAACCCATTTGCATTTTATCCCCTTCAACTATAAAATTCAATAGTTAATCATTTTAAAGTATTATCTTATTACAGTTAACATTTTTTTTTTGTTAGGATTCTACTATGAATTTACACAATTAGATAAAGTATAAGTAGTATTTTTCTCTTATTTAGGTGACACATTCTAAAAATTTACTTTTTTTCTAAAAAATCTACATTAGCATGCCTTTTTTGTTTACATATAAAATTCTATACAAACTCAATTTCAATTATAATAATCAATTTTATATGAAATCTATTTGAGAAATACTTATTTTTCATATATATAATTATAATTTAATTATTATGATATTTGAAAAAAATTATCTCGATATACAAGTAAATAAATAAATAAATAAATAAGACATAATGCGCTTAATTATATGCATCACACTTATCCAACTAATTTATTTTTTATTTAACGTGAAATTATTTATTATAAGATGTTTATATTTAATTTAAATTTTATATCCATCAAAAAGAGTATTAAAGAAAAAATCAATACTCTATATATTTAATTTATATATTTTCTTCTTAATCCAAACCCAACATATTTATATTTAATCATTTAAATAAATTTTGTGTATTTCTATTTCTACATATTTTTATTTTTCAAATAAAAATAAAAATAAAAATAAATAATTAGAATTACTTTTAGTTTTATATTACTAATTCTCTTTCTAATTTAACTATTATTTTTAATATCAAAATGATTGTTTATTTTACTATCTTACAATTTAGGCCTGTCAAGAAAAAAGGGAGTCTTAACTTTTTTCCTTTAAAATAATTATATTAATTTAAAATTTATATACATATATATAATTATATATAAAATGTATAAACAATTTTCAAATACGTATTAAAGAAAAATTAATACTCAACATAATTAATCTATCTATTTTTTATTAATCTAACGTAACATACTCATATTTAATTTTTTAAAATAAATTTTTTTATAACTTCCATTCTTTTTTTCTTTTTTTTTTGATTTCCAACTAAATAAAATAAATAAATAATTAGAATCACTTTGAATTGTATGTTACTATTTTTCTTCCCAATTTAACTATTTTTATTAATGTAAAATTAAGTATTGATTTGACTATGTTATAATTTAATATCATATAAAATTATTATATATTTATTTTAATTACACTTTTATAACACAATAGGATTAAGATTATTAAATAACACACAAATAATTTAATAGATCACGTCATTTATATATTGTTATTATATTTCAAGATAAAAAATAAAAAAAAAATAAAAATTAAGTGGAACATTATTCAAACTGTTTTCTATGGGACCAAAACAAAAAATAAATAAATAAATAAAAGCAGCAAAACGGTGCCGCATTAACTCGCAGCAGTTGCTGCTGTGATTTAAGCACAGCAGCATCCCCTAACCCCATTTTTGTGTGTGTGTATGTGTGTGAAATTTGCAATTTAAAATCCTCTCAAGATCTATAACATGATATGAAATTCTATCAAATAAATTAACAAAATCATAAAACTTCACTGCATTAGTGAAATCAATGAAATTTCTTTTTAAGCATTAAAAGTTGTCCAATTAAGGATCAATCACAAAAACTAGGTCCCAAATTATATAGTTCATGGTAAAAAGTTGAAATAGAGGGTTTGAAAATGACAAATTTACAGATAATTTCATTCCTAATTATCCATTGCATACAAGCACAAGTATAAGATATTAAAATTATTAATCCTGCTTTGACTAAGATAAAAACAGAGCTAACCTAGAGAAGAAAATACTCTCATAGCAGAACCGGAACAAGTTTAAGGACAACAATCGTACATCTTAGAACACCATTCTAGGTCGTCTATGGTACTTGTATTAGCCTCAGTAGGCCAACAACAGGTTTTTAACAAGAAATTTTTGTATGTACATTAACTCGGACGACAAAAAGCAAGACAGCAAGCTCAACAGGAACTAAAATAGGGACTAAAATTCATCCATAGAACATAAGCACACAATACAATTCATGGAGTTTGCAACACAATCGTTTCTAAAGTTTCAATGTTATTCAAACATGCCATTAAACTATTTTTTGGATGTTTAATCGCACCCTACCAGGGTAATCAGTCAGCCGTCCAACTCTGCTCAACAATCTCCCGTACTCTCCTGTTGTACTCCCGCTTGTTCTCGCTAAACATCCGTGCAGCTTCAGAATTGGCCGGAGAGTTTGGGTTCGGGTCACAGAGCAATGACTGCAATAGCAAAGTCCGCGGTTAAAAAAACATTACATGCAAGAGATAGGAACAATACCTCTCAAAAAATGATGACTATAAACACGTTCACAATCATAAATTATACACATACACAAACACACAAAATGGAAGAAGGGCAACATAATATCCGTGCTGCATCATAACTACTGACTAGATATATGAAGTCATCATAACGTAATGCCATTGATAACACTGCTCTATACATGTACCATTTGACAAATAGTGTCTCAAGAGGAGTGGAACCAGGTGATGTCACAGATTGTAAATATAAAGCTTCTTCAGTAGACCAAATTAACTGAGCTATGAAGAAACAAATCAATATACCTACTTACAGAATCCAATTCAAGAATTCAGCTACCTTTCTATGGCTTTTTCCTGATGCTCTTCCTAGTATTGTATGCATTTACTTTATAAACTTTAGCTACTTATCAAACTCATTCGCAAAGTCGTCATATTAAGGGACACAGTGATGCAACAAAATTCCTCAAAAACAGAATCTATATTGGCGGGTGTTTGCAAAGAGTTTTTTTTTGTTTTTTTTGTTAGTTTTTTGCCAAAAGACAAAATAGGTTAAAAAACCAAAAAAAACAAATTCAGACAAAATATCACATCAAACCCATAATCATTTCACTTTTTTTTCTTACAAACATCACATCCAACTATAAAAAAATCCAACTATCTTCCCAAACACAAAAAATTTCCTTCAAAAATAATCAAAAACTAAAAAAACCTACTAAAATAACAACTTCCCAAACACCCACATTATGTTTTTATAAACACACATATAAACTCAACCTTTAGTCTCCAAATTCATAATAATAGAAGTCTACAAAAGCAAATAAAAGTACAGATAACCATTTGGTTCAAATCTATACAATGGTTTCAACAAGGGCTACAAATCCGTGCATGATTACAAGGGGCACAAAAGCTGTTTAAAAGCCTGCTTAACGTTGTATTTATGAAATGATTTATGAAACCATACCAAAGCTTCTCAATGTATTATTGAGTGGAACTGTCAGAGGTCCAACCAATCTCCAACTAGATTTCCCAAAGGGGAAATATCAATTCAGTCTAACTTCTGAAAAAAAATTACATATTAATGATAAACTTTATAAATATTAAAAAATTAAGTTATAAACTTCTTCATGAATATGTAAATATTTTTGGAAAAGACCACTGTTATGTAATATCCCCTTTCCCAAAAGCAATAATAATTGGAAAAAAAGAAGAACAAGAGACTATTAGTTCTGGTGGGGATTTACCACAATCTTCTAAATTTATGGGTGGAGGCTCATCCAAAATCAAAAGTCTCACAACCTGAGACTCACAAAAATTCATCACCAAATAACAAAAAACTCTCTTTTGCAATGGGCTACAAAGTAACTTTTTCTTTTTCTCTTTTTTTTTTCTATCCTATACTCCAAAACCCAAGTTCTCTCTCTAAAAATTTCTCATTTCATTTCTAACACTACTCAAAAAAATTAACAACAATAATTCTTTGTTTCCTTTAAAATGAACATTTATAACAACAAAAAAAGAAAGTGTCCACACTCCACCACATGAGCCTGGAATGAAAAGAGAAAAGGTTGATTGGGTAAAAATTGTCGACCCCATGGATTCATTCTTCATGATGCTTACGGTAAATGCAATCAATCAATTAATTAATTCAAACTCAAGACTTCATTAAAAAAATTATTTAAAATAAAAAAAATTGTTCATTCATAAGCTTGCTACAGTTCAATTGTCGGTGTTTCCATACTCTACTTCAGCTTTAACTTAGAACCCCATCAATCCCATTTGTCATCAACAGTCACACTTGACAGTACTAAGTTCAACACCCGTACAAAGCAATAATCCCATACCTGGATGGAGGTAAGTATGGCAGCCACATCATAGATAGGACTCCACTGATTTTGTAGAATATCCAAACAAATACTTCCATCCGCATAGACTGCCAATAGGGAAGGCAAAATGGGGACTTAATGTTTTATCAGCAGATACACACATATCATTTTATGAACATATAAAAGATAACAATAAATGGTAATTGTAAAAGCTACAGTAATAGAAACAATATAATAATGGCAGGGCAGGAGAAGAGACTTGACAAGTTATGCGACTCCAGCAACAACCCCAAGGGCCAGGGGGTTAGCCGAGTGGAAAATTGAGCCGTGATAAGTGCCTCGGGAGGGCTTAGTTCACGAGGTCAACTCCCATGAAACGCTTGACCCCCTTGGGGGCTCCCATAGGGCTTATGCCCAGTACTACCTAGTATGAGTGGAACAGGGGACTGCATATACCCGGGACTGGTAGGGGCAAAGACCACCAGCAATGATAAGTGAAAATGTGTGTAAATTTTTATTTATATTATTTTTTGTACCTTAGATAAGTGAAAGTTTGCATAAAGCTTTAATAACCAAATAGTAGTTTTTCCTCCTAACCTCCTTTTACAAACCTTAAATTCAAAGTGGGGATTATCATTAGCAAGGGCAAGTTTCCTACACATTAAAAATGCAGAGAAAAGTTTTTTAAGGATAGTAAAGCATCGTTATTTCCGGTCTTTATAGAAGCATGTCAACAAACACAATATAGGAACATAAATGAATAAACATCATGTTCCACAACCGTATAGTGTACACACTTATGGACAACAAAGTTGACAAGAAATGGGAATAAAATAGACACTAGTGATATAGTTAGAAAACTGAAATTACTGAGAACATTATAAGCAGGTGCAGCAAGTGCAAGTTTAAAATTAAAGAGCAGAAGGTGTGGTTCATGCTTCCAACTTACTATTTGGATGGAACATTCGAGAAACAAAGCGCACTGTTGGTGGCTTATTTGGATAATCCTCTGAAAATTGAAGTGTCAATTTAAAGGTACCTGATGATGGACATAAAATATTTTAGAACTCTTCAATACAAAAGGTAAAATTTAGCACCAACCACAATATAAACAAGAAACAACCACTATTAGAAAATAAGCCTCATGGTAATTTGGAACAATATTTTAAATAGAATGTACAACCATCATCAGCAGCAAAACACAAATATCATCTTCTATATTTATCTGCCATTGGTGTTGCTGAGAAACTGGGTGAAATTTAAAACAGATTTGATCAAATTTCAACTAATGAAGTACAAATAGAAAATTTTACTGATATATGTATGCCATCAATATATTGAACATTTATCAATCACTGTGAAACTACTTAATTGACAACATGTAATTGATTCTATTGTATTAGTGTAAGACGGGGAGTTTCCCGTCCCAAAGCTGAGCCAATCAAATCCTAATGAATAACCATTTTGCCAAAAAGATTATGTCGCTTTAAATATTAGTGCTTGTTTAATGTAGAATGCTTTTATCTTTGCAGAACATGAGTCATGTGAAATAGTGCAGTAAGCAAAACTCAGCTAATATATTTGATCCAAGAAATAAAGAAAAGGAAAATCACACATTTTCATCAAATTATGCAATTGACAGTAGATTGGTCCTCTTAAATCAATCTATAATAATAAAGCACATGCAAAAAGAAATACATTGAACCACACATATCGTGACAAACTATTAGAATTGTGTTATGATAATTTACTTCCCAAATCTGTAACAACAATAATGTCAACCATTCCATCACTTAAGAGTTAGGGGTGGTTTGGGATGATCTAAATAAGTGCACTTTTTAACTTTTTGTGAAATATGGGTTGAGTTTGAAGTGATATGGTAGAGGTTGATGTGACTTAAATAAAACAGTGACTTTTTGACTTTTTTAGAGTACCCAAACAAGGCCTTATATAATTTAACAGAAAATCAGCAATTTGTAATGATATGCAAGATAATCTTGCAATAACAAATAAATAAATGTGTAAAATATACATAAATTGTATATGTTCTTTTCAATAACATGAAGAAAAATGATTTTACCTCCATCCCATGGGGTGTCATCAGGACTGCAATTCAAACATGAAAGTACATTAGAAAATATGCTTTTACAATTATAACAAACCCAGATAGAAAAAAAGGCCACAAGTACAAAACAAAACACAACACCGGCAACAAGATCATGTCTTCGGAACCAACCCAAATATAACAGCATTCCAAAGCATTATATTGTTATCTTGTGGAGCACCACTGATGCCTGCAGGAGGGTCTTGTTGCAACCTCTTAAAATCCCTCATCAGCCTCTTCCTTGCCGGAGTCGACATCCTGACAACCCACAGATTTGATCACAAGTCAAGTAAAACAACTCTTATCACACAAGCACAAAATGCGCACTGGAAAACAACAATCTATTGGTGTGTCTATCAAATAAATATATGAAAACTGGTGTTTCTCAACCTAAAATGTAGTTAAACATGTAGAATCAAAACAATCTAAATAACAATGTAAACTTCAATCGACACAAAGCTTTTGACAAACAATAAAAGTCGCACTTAAAGCCACCCCTTACTTTTAAATGTCATGCACACAACCATGAATATGCTAGGGCTTTTGCTATCAAGACAAAATCATTTTTTTTTATCCAACCAAACTTGAAAATCCCTTGTCTACAAGTATCATACAACACAAGCAAGTGCAATTGATTGCTCCAGTTGACAGTTTAAAATACTTGAACTTCAACTGAGAATTTTCCTTCATTTTTGTACAACTGTAGGTTGAAAAATACAGAAATATCCATGTAAAGAGCAAGAAATCCAAGATATACATGTAAAGAGCAAGGCACATAACCAAAAATTTTCATCATCAAGTGCATATATGTGCACCCAAATATCTGTATAATAAGCAAGAAACCACACATAGAACTCATAAGCATAAAGAACAAGACACAATTTTCCCCTCATCGTCATATCACTCACCAAGAAACCCAAGATTCACCATTTACCAGTTTGAATCTAACAGAAACGTCAACAAACAATTTAAAGATTAAATTAAGGTTTGCTCTCATCAAGCACATATATATGCATACAAATATACGTATAAAGAGCAAGACAGCTAAAATTTTCATCCCATATTCATATCACTCACCAAGAAACCCTAGATCCACCATTAAGTGCCATTTTCAATCTAACAGAGATGTCAACTAACAATTTAATGTTGAAATTAGGGAGAACACATCAATTAAGTTCATTAGATACATAAGTAGCTTCATCCAATCAAAGAAAACAAACTAAAACAAATCTATACATCAACCTAATTTAATTTACCTAAAAAAAAAAAAAAAAAGAAAAACGAAAGGAGATAGAATAGTTCAGTTAAATTCAAGTGATAGACAAATTTCCTTCATTTTTCATACAGCTTTAGGTCGACAAATAAAGAATACCTGACTAACATGTACAAGTGTAAAATCCGTATAAAGAGCAGAAACCCTAGATCCACCATAAAGTAACCATTTTCAATCTAAAAGAGACGTCAACTAACAATTTAAAGATGAAATTAGGGGTTCTTCTCGTCAAGAACAAATCAATTTGAGTTGTTTAGATACATAAGTAGATTCATCCAATCAAAGAAAAACAAATTAACACAAATGAAAGAGTAATCTTACCTATGAGATTTCTGAGCAGTATGTATAAGAGCTTGATTGTTGAAGAGAGAGGGATTGGGTGATGATGATATCTCTGAGTCTGACGATCAAACCAATTGCCAGAGAAAGATTCTCATGGCGATGGATTGATCAATCAGAAGAAGGAGCGAATGATAGATGTGTGAGTACAAAAGAAAGATATATATATATATAGAGAGAGAGAGAGAGAGAGCGGGGTCCCCAGCACTTTCTCTCACTAATTTTCTCTTTCTATGAATGAAGGGATGGATGGATTCTTCTGCGGAGTTGCCACTTGCAAGTGACACGGGCTGCGCTATTTTGGCAGGACAAAAGTAAGTTTGTTGGTGGAGGAATTCTAATTTATGCATTTTTATTTTTTAAAATTTTTATTAAGATTTTTTAGATTTTTAAATTTTATTAAAATGTTAATAATTAGAATTATCTTTTGTGTGGGTAAAAATCTGACCACACTGCCCGTTTAGTGATCAGCAGCTAAGCACCGGCGTGTTGGTATTCAAAAAATATGTCCCTAAATCTTTTAAATAATAATTATTCATTATTTATTATTATTTATAAAAAAACATAATAATTTGATATTTATTTTGATTTTTAAAACTTTAAAATATCAACTTTTAAATTGAAAAAATTAAAAAAATTATTTATAAAAAAAATATTTTTTTTGAAAAATTTGAATTATTTTTTGTGCAAAACTGAAAATTTTGTGTCAATAAAGGAGTATGATGATAGAACATTAATGTGCAAAATTAAAAAAAAATAAAAATGAAAAAATTGATAATATTCTTAGTTTTAAAATTAAAAAAAAAAACTACTAATATTTTCGATTTTATTAGATAATTGAATCAAACCAATAAATTGAAGAGTAAAACGATTGATCTCATATTCTGTTTTTTTTATCAGTTACTGAAACAATTATTTGAAACATTACTATACAAAATTAATAATGTTTTTAATTTTAAAAATTGAGAAAAACTAATAATATTTTCTGTTTTACTAAATATGACTTATTAGTTCAAAAAACTTATAAATAGGACCTAAATTACCATAATATTTATAAATAGGACTTTTAAATAATTAATTTTTTATTAATTTGTTTGAGTTATATTATTTTTTTATGTATTTTTATATTTTATTAAAGAAGTCAAAAAAGAAAAGTTAAAAGTTTTTTTCTCATTTTTCAAAATAGGCCATATATATGCCCTCTCTCTATCTATGGTCTGTAGTCTGTGTTTACTATCCATATATATATATATATATATATATTTTCTTTTTCTTTTTCTTTTTCTTTTGGTAATGGAAATCGAAATTAGATTAATAAAGAGTTAAGTTGTTACATTTATAAGGTAAAAAGTATCCCTAATGTCTTCAAATACTTGAAAGAAAATACAATTAGGAATAGGAGAGAAAACAAGTAGACCCTCATGATTAAATCCTTCGTTGACAAGTAAGTCCGTGCATTTGTTTCCCTCGCGATAGGTGTGGCTAATAGTCGAGGTTCTGAGCTGGTCCAAGAGGTACCTGCAGTCATGAATGAGATTACTAAGTTGATGATGATGGTAAGAGGTACCAAGAATAAGATTTTTCATGATGGTTACGTCTGTTTTCACTTTTTTTCCTGTGAGATTCAGGTTAAGAGAAAGTTTTAGTCCATCTCGCATGGCCCATAGTTCGGCTTCGATACTGGACGAGTGGCTAATGTTGAGGCAGAAACCAGAAATCTATTTACCCGTCCAGTCCCTAATGATACTGCCAGCGGCAGCAAGCCCAGGGTTTTTGTTTTAGAGGCACCATCAGTATTGAGTTTGAACAAGACAGGTTTGGAGGGTAACCAAGAGATAATGGATGGTAGAGAAGAGTGTGGTTATTTGGCTGAGGAGAAATGTTGCCATTCGATAGCAGAGGCAGTGGCCAAAGAGGGGTTGAGAGAGTGAGGGCTGGAGGTGGAGAAACACCAAGAATTTTGATATTTCCAAATGAACCAGCAAGAGATTGGAAAGAGGACTGACCAATCGGCAAATGAGTGGTGGGTTAGGTTGGAGGTACAGTTAGATTTAATCCAGTCAGCAAGAGGGTAGGCGAAGAAAGAAGGGCATTGGCTGGGATTTGAAGAGCATCCCAGAAGAGTTTGGCAAATTTGCAATCCCTAAAGCTGTGAGTGGTGGTTTTAGGATGGATAAGGCAGCGAGGATAGATAGAGTCGTTGGTGATTCGGCGAAGGAGGAGGTTGTCTTTGGTACTAAGGTGTTGATGAAAAGTGAGCCAGAGGAAATGGGATATTCTAGGTGATGTTCGACAACTCTTCCAAAGCCAAGTCCAGTTATCAAAAGGGAGAGATGAGGGAGAAGGTTTAAAGTTAAGGTAAGCAAAGCTAGAGGTAAAAGACCCATGAGGGGAGAGTTTCCAAGTGAGGCAATCATCAGTGGGATTAAACCATTGGAGAGTGATGCAAGAAAGAAGGTTAGTGATACAGGTTGAGAGAGAGAATGAGGGGCTAGCGAGGTTCCAAGAGTTTTCGACCTAATAATCTTTAATCGAAAGGTTTTGGTCTGAAAGGGTAAGGAGCCCTTCAATGAATGATCGAAGTGGTCCAGGGCCTATTCAATTGTCAAACCAAAAGGAGATATGGAGCCCATTACAAAGGAGGATTTTTTAGCCTAATTTGAAGAGTTCGGCCACTTTATTAATTCCTTTCCAAGTGGGAGAGAGGATTGAGGACTTGGATCGGGGCTTAGAGATAAGCACTTTAGCCCAAAGTTTATGTTTTTCACAGTGTAGTCTCTAGTTGAGCTTGGCCATGTTAACATTGCTTACTAGGCTAGCTTGTCTAACACCCAACCCTCTAACTTTTTTAGGTTTGGCTACGTTATCCCAACTGATGGAGTGGATTTTCTTTTTTTCGAAGGTGATACCCCAAAGGAAGTCCCTATTGAGTTTGTCTATTTTATTGGTAACAGACTTAGGGATGTAGTAGCATTGCATGACATGGTTGGGAATGGCTGAATTAACAGCTTTGATAAGGGTGGCTCTACCCAGGAGGGATAGCAGCTTAGATTTCCAACCGGACAATTTATTTTGGATTTGTTACACGATAAAAGAGAAAGAGTTGGCGGATGGACGAGTGTAGTGAATAGAGCAACCAAGATATTTCCCAAGATTAGTGGTAATCATGATTTGGAGTTTGTTGGCAAGATGAGTCTTGGCATTATCATCCAAGTTAGCGGAGAAGAAAACTTTTGGTTTGCTCAGATTTATTTTTTGGTCTGATCTGCAACAAAAATTGTTAAGGACAAAGGCTATGGTTGAACAATTTTCCTCGATGGCTTTCCCGAAGAGGATTAGGTCATCGGCAAAGAATAAGTGGGATAAGGTGGGACTGGATCTACCGATTTTAATGGGTGACCACAATTTTTGATCACAAGGTTGGGTGATGGCAATAAACAAGTATTCCATGCAAAGGATAAAGTGATAGGGGGAAAGAAGGTTATCATGTCTAATACCGCGGGAATGGAAGAATGGGTCTGTTGTACCACCATTGAACAAAATTGACATAGTAGAATAAGAAATGCAAGAGATGATGATGTCAATCTAGATCTTTGGGAAGTTGAAGAAAATGAGTATGTGTCGAATGAACCCCCACTCAAGTCTATCGAAGGCCTTTTCTAAGTCAATCTTGATGAACATCTTGCCACTACTGCCTTTTTTAGCACGAAAGTTGTGGACAACCTCCTGAACAATAACAACATTATTAGTTCACTTTCTTCCCGGTATGAAACTGGTTTGGTAGGGACTAATAAGATCGTCAAGCAGGGGTCTAAGGTGAGCAACAATGGTTTTGGTGAGAAGTTTATAAATGGTGTTGCAGAGACCGATGGGACAATATTGGGTAACAAGTTTTGGATTAGGGGTTTTGAGAATGAGGCAAATGAAGGTATGGTTAAGATTGGGGTCAACTGAATCGGTGGAGAAGACATCATCAATGACTCTCATGATAGAGGGGGCTAGAATGCTCCAACATTTTTGAAAAAATGCAAGATGGAGGCCGTCAAGTTCTGGGGCTTTCCAAGGCTTAAAGGACCCAAGGACAGCTTCGATTTCATGGACAATGGGTGTTAGGCGAAGGAAGGAGTGGTGGCTGACATCAATTTAAGTGAAAGGGAATGGAGGGTGAGAAATGAGGGTAGCGGAGGTGGTGGAGGTAGAGAATAGTGAAAAGCAATGTTTTAAAAACCAGACCGGTGAGCGAACTGGAAAAATGATTGGGTGGACGGGTCACCGGTTCAACCATCGAATTAAACCGGAATTGAACCGTGATGTAATAAATATATTAAAATTATATTTAAATAAAAATATAAGTAATAAAATTATAAATTAAAAATATTAAATTATCTTAAATATTTGTCCTAATATTTTTTTTATTGAAAAACATAATAATATATTTTAAAATATTATTAATTTCAATTTTGGAAGATGAAATCAAATATTTAATATTCCCTCCATATGATTTTAATTCAAATAATTTGATTGAAAGGAAAATAAAAATTTTGGAGGGATATCAAAATTTCAATATTCCCTCTAATACATTTGATTGAATCCCACATGGATTTCTTGAGTTTTTTTGAAAGAATTTTTTTCTTATAAATAGGTGAAGACTTTCATAATAATTTCATTAAATTCTTAATGGGATTCCTTACAAGAGGAGACCCTTGAAAAAGAGTTTCAAATTAAAATTTTCTTATATTCTTATTATATATATATAAATAAGAAAGAAAGAAAGAAAATAAAAAGAGAAACTCACAAAAAAAAAAAAATCCGAGTCGGACAACCCGGCGAATTGGCCTTTTTCCGGTTCTCACTAAATACACCGATTTTTAGTTTTGGCTGGTTCAGAGTGTACATCCGAACCAGAACCCTGACCAGTTGACGGTTCAACCGGCCGGTCCAGTCCGGTTTTCAAAACCTTGGTGAAGAGTAGTAGGAAATGAAAGAGGTTTTGATACTTCGCTCATCATAGATCCAGTTGTTGTTTGAGTCACGGATGGTTAGAATTTTGTTTCTGCAGCGACGAGTTAGTGTAGATTGGTGGAAAAATTTTGTATTTTTGTTGCCATCAATTCATTTTATTTTTAAAGGGTTTGGCTAGGTTGTCATATCAATATATGAGAATATTTTGATTTGGAAAGCTCATTTTAAAATTAATTTTGGTGATTTAAATTATTCATTTTTTTAAATTTGTTGAGTAAAATATATATGT